TTTCCCGATTGTAAGGGAGGAGCTGATGTTCATAGAGGACTAAAGACTTCCAGAGGACTGAAGAGGGCTAACAATTTAATTAATTTACATATACGACCACTGCTAAAGAAATTCAAAACTCAGTGAAGAATCTTGGGGCTATTGAACCTTACCAGCGCTCCCCCCTCCCCCTCTCCCTCCCCAACCACCTCACCTGTTAGGAGGAACTGAGGTCATGGAGAGTCGAACCTAAAGCTCACTCCGGAATCGGCCAGCTAAGCGCCCTGAAACTTTCTCTATAGTGAAAGGGTATGTCTAAAAAGAGGAAACTCGCTCGGATCCTTTGTCATGCATCAGCACATTTCGTTCAAGATCTGTCTGTGAAGAAGAACGAATCATTGGCTGTTTTATCGCCAGACTGGAACATCCACTTGCAGATTTCTAGCTATGTGATTATGCAGAATCCCGTTATTATGTACTAATCCCACATTCCATTGAGACAAAGAACCCGTCAAGGGTACAAAGACCAAGAGAATTCGACGAGGCCAGCCCGTAGCGAAAGACATAGGGTATGGGAATTTAGACGGAACGGCATTTCCACCATGGTCCTGTCAGGTCTAAGTAGGCGTTAAAAGCACTGCTCTTACAAATTCGAGGAGTATACTTTCCGTGGATAAGCTACCTTTGTACAAGATTTCTTAGCCTATTTTGCAATCTCAAGACTTTGAAGCTACTAAACATCCGAGAGTGAAGGTAGGGCAATGTCATACGGCGCTACCACCACGTGCATAGACTGGGAATGAAATCCCGAGTCACCTGGGCCAAGTGAGCTTTCGATTTCTCCACGTCTCCGAATAGTCCGGGAGGACAAAAGCTTTGATTTTGATTTTTTTTTTTTNTTTTTTTTTTTGATTTTATCTATCCTCCATAAGTCACTGTAGAGGTTAAGTATGCATTCATGCGTTAGTACGATTTTGAATAGAAGTCGGTTGCGTGGCGTATCCCAAAACGTCACTGATCACCCTTTCTTTATTTCTTCTTCGTAGATATGAATGAATCAAAGTAATTGTTGTTAAATAGTGATCACTATATCGATTTCGGATTAATTGTAGATCATAACCGACTACAGCGAGACACTGGCACTTGTTCATTAGTCACATATGCCGTCGGGGAGCGGAAAGAAGTCGAATTCGTTTTTTTCAGGTTTGTGGAATGGAATTCAGGTTTTTGTTGAAATTTAATGTCCTTCCGCAATTCTTTTTCATTTCAGTTACACAAATGCAAGAGTTCCGTCATCATGAAACCAGGAAAAAAACGCCATGCAATTCTCATGACGACAATGACATCGCGGATGCCATGACTGCATGACAACTCGTCCGTGGACACTGTACTCAGTTAAAGAAGTAAGTACATCTTTCCCGCATTTTATCAAACAATGGTCGTCGGTTCTAAAAAAGTTCATCGAAATCGTGGCAGCAATGCCGAGTAGTTTGAGGCCCTTCTCATCCAGCCCCCCGCAAGGATCCCTTGTCACCCAAGTCTGTCAACTTCCAAATTATTCCGAGGTCACTTTAGGACGGTTCATGATAGCTTTGAGGTNCACTTTCAAGTTGAAAAGGTGTGTTGGTGGAGATTAGTGCATCGGGGATGAAGAAAATCGGTAGAATTCGCGAAGTCTGAGACTCCCCAAAAGTAGTCAAAATAGGGATCGTGGGAGACTACTTTGACGGAACTGGCATGGAATTGGGTGAATTGATTTCAGTCCTTCCACTTTTTTGATGTTCGGCAGCGATAAGCCAAAAATGACCAAGTTTGTCTTATTCTGCCATTACGGGCCGCACGTAGTTTTCCGAAGTTCCGACATATATGCTTCACAGTTAATGGGGCCGCTAGAACTCGTCCTTATTTGGGTGTGGCTGTCATTGAAGCCGTTATTTGAACCCTTACTGCCCTATCTAGGCCGTTTTTAACCCGGCTGGGCCACCATATGGCATAGTTGGAGGCCATAGTCGTAAACTACTTTTTTCGTGCCTTCAAGAGTTTCCTGATATAATTCATGGACACGGTTCTGATGAAGCCTTCCCTAGCAGAACACGCCTTCAGTACCTCTACAGTCTTGAGTGAAAGCGCAACGACAGGTGCGTTCCCACAAGGTTATTTAGCGGCTCCCAAGGAACTTAGTTCGGAAACCATGAAGTACATAAACTATATCATTCGTCTGGATCCGGAAAATCTGTCGACCGAGAATGACCAGAAGAATCCTGGGCCCCGCAGTGGGTACTTGAAGGATAACACCCAATTCAGTCAGCCACTTACTCCCGATCCCTTCTACGAGAGGTTGGGTGTGTTCATTTAAGGCTAAGTACGTTGTAAAGAATCGGGAAACCCACTTGTCGGGAAGAGGAAGTTCCTTCGTTACGTAACATTTCTAGTGGCAATTGGACAGAATAGGTGTTTAGTGGAAACCTTGACCGAGAATGAGTCGCGGGGTCTACCCTCGTCCAATTGCCTTTCGTGACCGTAATCTGGACCGGATGGATCTGAGAAAAAATTGGCTGAAATAGTCCTCATTAGGCTGTGTTTTACGACGATGTTATTATGGGAGTTCGATTCGGATGGACACTTTGTTAGTGCCGAGTTCTGAAGGTGAACATCCGAGAACTGTCGCCACTTTTTTGGGATGTGGGGATCAACAGATTTCTTTGAACGGCTAATTTTTGAGGAGTGATTTTTAAAGGCTGAAAAGGGTCTCCCGGAGAGCACGTCTTCCATACGGATCCGTCAAAATCGGCTAGATCTGATGGTCAGAAGACGCCAGTTATTGGGCCCATTTCTTCTTTGAGATACCCCATCCCCTCCAACATCGATTCTGACCGGTCTATTTTCGTCGTTAGAAAGTTTAAAGGACCTTTTGATGCAATTTTTCAGTTTCCCGAAAAAGAATTCTCATAAAATCTTTTACCAATCCTTTTTGGAAGGCGAAGGATTGATGCAAACAAAATAGTAAATAAAAATATAGACAATCAACATTTAGTAGTTTTAACAGCACAAATATTTAGCGAGTGCATATTCCTCAATTTTTCAAAGTCTAGGTTGAATTTATGTGCCCATTTATCATTTCGTACAAAATAAATACCATTTGGCTATTTCTGAACGAATAATGGCCTTTTTGACTCGGATAGGATCTGGTCCATGGGGTTGCGCCTTTCGATCGTGGCACCTCTAGGAGTGCCCTTTCTTAGTTTTGTCTTCGACTCTGTACTCAGAGTCAAAAGACATGGACCTGCGATCACGGTAGTTGGAATTTTGTTAATACGTCTCCCGGAAAAAATGTGAGGGAGAAGAAGGGGGAGGGAAGAGTTCCTAAAGAGGACGATGATGATTTAATATGCATCTTTGCTAAGATACGCGCCGCAATGACTTCTACTCCATAAATGTTCCCATTACTAGCCCAAAAGACCCCAAAGTACTAAAGGGCAGCTTAGCCGGGTCAGTCAAGTCGTTTTCACGCGACTGTATATTTTTGCGAGGAAATGTCAACCCAGGTTTACGGCAAGTGTTACTATACCCAGGCTAATTCGCTTGCTGACCATGTTCGGGTGGCGGGTATGTCGTCGACTTATTTTCATCGACTGTGGTCGACTTGTTGTGAATTGCTCTGTATGGTTTGAATCGATAGAAAATTAAAGTTTGGAGGGCTGTATGACATTTCCGGCTGTTCACATATTCAATTTATCCTCAAGGCGGATGAAATATCCAAGTGTCCCGATTGAGGGATGTCCTCACCCTCGCCCATTGTTGAATGCATACAAATCATCCATTCCAAACGAGATCGTCGTCATAAAAGGTCTGACTGGCTGGCTGCAGACGTTTTTCAGCCGTCAGACGACCTCATCGACGTCGATCAGCTGGATTCCTCACCGGCATCTGCATCACGTTTTTTTCCTCAGCTCGGGCGTAAACGTCTTTTGAATGTCACTGTTGATTGTCGTCGGAAACTCATGAAAACAAGGAAAACTTGTCCGGAAACAACGATCATTCCGGCTAGTTCTAGCAGCGGAACTGCCGCTATGAGTGAGGTAATGAATAAAAAGGAGGCGGTGGTGTTTTCGCTGTTATGGGAAATGGATGAGGATGAATTGCGTTCAAGAGAGAACACGATTTTCACCACAACAAGGGAGTTTCAGATGTTCCAAACTTGCCTGTGGAGTCACTAGTGGGAATTCTGGGCCTATTCGACAAATGTTTTGGCCGGGCTCCAAAACTTGTTGCCTTTTTTGGAACCTGGGAACGAAAGGACTCAGGTTAATCACCAAAACGGTCTTGATCAATGTCCAAAACGCCTAAACACATGAAGTGCAAATGGGGCAGTGGCTAAAGGCGTTGTTGTCCTGTGCACTTTTCGCCAGTACAATGCCACCTTGGTAAACAAGGCTACTCTGGCGGCGTAAAAATCAGTTTTCTGCGACTGGAAAATGCTGAAAGGGCTGGTTCCGAGGGTGAGCTGCTGAACGAATTAGTGCGAATGAAAGAGAGAGGTTACTCAGTGCTCTTAAGAGTTTGGGAGCTATGAGGTGCGGGCGAGTTACTCGACAAATAAAGTCTACCTGAAATAGAGTTCTCATTGCTATGGGTTCTCTCCCTGTTCAGATTCTTATGGTTCAGAAATTACGGACAGGAGGATTCCACTAGAACTCATTCACATCAACCATTTGATCATCGGTCCCTTATTATAGGTGCTATTGACTACTTCCACATGCGCATAAATATTGAGAGCGAATTTGGCGACCTTTGGAGACAATAGGAGCATTAGTGACAACTAATGTGCTCTCAGGGGCCAAAAAAATTCCTCAGACTGTCCCAGTCGTGGTATTGATATTTGTTAAGCCGTCGAACTAGCAAAATATCGACCATTCGGCACTTCTAGCCTTGGCCAGCTCAGAGCCAGTGCTTTAAGAAGTCCGACCAGGATCTGCTTATTCTTGGTGGAATTCTCAAATCCAGAAAATTCCGCTTCGCAAGAGGTGGGAGGGAGG